TTAATATGCAACATTCAATAGAAAAAAAATGGCATTATTATTTATAGTGTATCGATAAAGTATTTGCAATAATATATTTATTTAGTTTTCATTATTAAATTGTAGCATTAGTTATGTCGAACATTACGAATATAATATCTCGATTTTACAAATTTTTCTTACTATTACAATTCAAATTTAATACTAGACAGTTTTTGTTCTTATTTTAATAATATCGTAAGGATATTACGAGATTTTGCCGAGATTACACATGAATAAGCATAAATTTGCCAATGCGGGAACTTTTATTAAATTGACTGCGGATAATTTTCGTATATTTTCGAGGTATAAATAAAATAATGTCCCCGTGAGAGTATGCGATCCGCTTTAAACAATTTATCCTCTTGTAAATGCATATCGCTAAACGTCCATCCCAACGAATCGACCAATATTCTGTTTCTTTTTTTTTTTTGTCTTTTTACTTTTTTTGTTTTTTTTTCTTCTTTTTGTTCTGTCGACTCTCTTTTGTCAGCGACAGAATTTTCGTTCTTCGTATAGCACATTAGCGACTTATGATAATTGTCTATTTACCGGGGCAACTCTTCCAAGCACCGATTCCTAGTGAAATCCACTGAACCGAGAACTTCCATTTACGATTGCGCAGAGTGGAGCCCGGCTCTCGACGACTTTTACCAACAGTCGCTTCGACTGAACAAAGCGTGAATCGTTGGAATCAGAGGAAGTAGCACTTCCTCGTTCATTTTTCCTCCCAACCCGAAGCGCCTATACTTTCCTGCCTTTCTTTTTTTTTTATTCGCACCTCGATTTGCTAGCGAGCGCTCGACTATCGCACCTCGTGCTTGTTTTGATTCTGTGTTGACTTTGTTTTGATTGTCAGCCAAGTGACAGTATCGTTCATTAGCCTTTTCTTATTTTCAATTGGGTATGATGATAGAGATTCTGCACAATGCTGGAGAAATCTTCGAATGATTTATTATGGGATTCGAGTATAGAATATTCGACGGACTTGGACATTGATACAATTTTAAAAAGCCGTAAATCGATTTGTTGAATATGCCCAATCAAGTTGCAACTAGTCAATCGTGTTGTGACAGTATGCCGTCGCAGCTATTATTTTCTACAAATAAGAAAATCGACTGAAAAGTCTGCAAATAAAGTTTAAGAAGAAAGTTTTCTTTTCACTGCTCCTTCGGTGCATTCTAGGTCAGTCGTAAGATATTTCAATCAAACAATCACAAAAAATAAATCCAGCGACTTTAACCTTCTTCGTTAGCATGTTTCTACCTTTCTCGTTTTTCAACGCAACCACTTAACCATTATATCACTAATTATCCTTTTTCTATATTATTACGCAAGTAAAATTATATATCCGACAGCGAAGGACGATTGGAATCCATAAATTATAATACAAGAGTAAGCACGAGCTGCATTGCAGAAAGACTATTTTGAGTTATGCAGTGGTCATTTATCCTTCTCGTAGTTTTTCGTAATTTTTGATTATCCAGATGATAATCGAGCCGATTTATAAGCTAACATTTACATAGCGCAAAAGCCGAGCAGTGAGTAGAAAGTGGAGGAAGCTAGCCCCACGCGATGAAAACGAAAAGGACTTTTTCGTTTGACGTTAGCACAGGCGTGAAAAACTAAAGGATACCCATCTCTCAAGTAGGTGTATATCAGACATTCAAGACGTAATTTCATCTTTCATTTCCCACGTGAAAAAGATATTTTCGGAAAAATATCTTTTAAATAACGCTATCTTCATTTTTATCACCCGACATAAATATTCTTTTATGTAAAGTCTACTCTATTAAATAAAAAAAAACTGTTTTTTTTTTTTTTTTTGCACGTATCGCAACTAACGATCTTTCGTACTTTTATGCACTCCTTTTTCCTATCCTTTCGAAATATATACGAGGACGAAATTTTGTATACATTGCCATTAAAAATGTACAAACGATCAAAGTTAGTTTTTACAGTTGATATTAAATATTACTAAAATATAACTTCGTATATTGAATTTAAAGCCTTATCATTGGATGTGCACGCGCGCACGCGCACACACGCACACACAGATAAGTGCTTGAATTAATTTTATTCACCTAATACTGAGGTACAACTAATGTAATGCACTACATGAGTATTCATTCGCCGTTAAGTTTAATTAAATTTGAATTTATGGAAATGCAACAAATCACTAACTCCGTACGTATATCTTCAACAATATGAAACAACATCGTACAATTATTCAAATGGAAACAATGTTTTTGAAAAACAAAGTAATAAAATCCTTTTTCTTTCCTTTGTTTTGCAAAACAACAAAAAAAAAACGGTTATATTGAATAATTACGAAATTAATTAGAAATTTCAAATATGGTAGTAAATAATATATTAAACTGAAGAGAAATAAATATTGTTCGGTATATTGTGAATGTTTTTAAATTCTATTAATAAACAAAATACCTAATGTTATAAACTTTCCCTATGCATATTAATATTATCTCGTGTATAGTCATGTTTGCAGATTACATTAAACGCCTACTCCAATACATTAAAACGATAAAATATATTTTTCTAAACGTCGCATTGTATGTTATAATAAAATCTGGCGACGGGTAATGTTCTTTTAGATTTTGCGCTTTAGATTTGTTTATTATGTATGAATGTCTTTTAGGATTATATGGAGAAATTTTGAGATATTGTAGTAGTCAGCGGTAATCCGAATTATATTTATACATAAAATCAATTTTAAATATTTCTTCTTGGAAAATAAAGTTATGTATTACTTAAAAAAAAAAACGAAAAAACTCAATGAATAAACTCGTAAGATAATTGATAAAACATAATAATCGACAACGTTTATGAGTTCGAAACTATGTTCAATGTGATCTCATTGGCATTTATGGAATTAATAATTCTAAATAGAGGCTTTTCATAAAATGTGATTTCACGTAAAATTCTTTTCAAAGTTTTTTTATATTTGTCAAAAATTTGAATGCCATTAAAAATTGTTATTTAAAAGGAATGTATAACATTTCGTAAGAAATTTTAGTTGCTTCAAATAAATTACTTAAGATTTGCAATAAATTAAAAAAAAAAGAAAGAATTTTTAATACAACACGCAAACGTGCATGCGATCAATACTTTTCATCTTCTGAAGCTAAAAAATTTTATATAGATTTTAAGTATATTTTAGAATATTTAATTTACATTTTCTAGAATTTCTGAAAGTTCAATTTATAAAAATCAATCAACGTAAAAGTAATTTAAATAATACATATATATATATATATATATATATATATATATATATATAGATATATAGATATATAAGAATTTTTAGTTGCATAAAAGAAAAAAATGAACCGAGTTGAGAAGAAAATTGTAAAGGATAGTTTCGATATCGAAATTATCTAGATATGTGAGATTCTTAATCAATGTTATATGCTTGGCACTTTGAAGAAAAAAAAACAACAAAACAATAAAGTAAAAAAAAAGGAAGAGAAAGTGTAAGAGAACAAAACTAAAAATTATCGGGACAAAAGATTAATCGGGTTTGGCAAGTAAATGATGGTCCGAGCTTACATTTAAACTTAAAAATCAATTCATAATATCCGTTTTTGAATTTTCAATTGATTATCGTGCATGTACTATGTAAATACCGATTTGGCCCATTTTATAAAGATTATTCAAATTATTACGTTAGCGTTTGATAATTAAATCGTAATACACGAGTCGTGCTCATTTAGGCATTAACCTTTTATTTTAAGATAAGATAAACCTTAGTTCAACAAAACATTTCAACTAGGCATATTATTATTCTAGCCATTGATATTTATGATATGATTTGATGTTGCTGGGATAATTAACAAACTAAAATTACGAGAATTATTAGAGCCAAGCAATTATTAATCATTGCACATTTTATGAAAGAATAATTTATGAGGGCAACCTAAATTTGTAGCAGAGATACGTTTAAAATTTTAGCCAAACATCGGCAATATGGGAAATTTAAAACGATTTAACTTTCAATATTGAACAATGCATCGATCCTATGGATATCGAGTCTTATTGACTTATTTTTAAATATTAAAGAACTTTATCGTAGAAGCCTTTGATGTTTATAAAATCCTTGTTATTCACATTGAACTCACTTAACATATCGTTGAATACATATCGTTGAATAAAAGAAGAAGAAGAAGAAGAAGAAGAAGAAGAAGAATAAGGAGAGGAAGAGGAAGAGATAGAAAGAAAGATGTATAGAAAAGATAATGTAAGCAGGAAAAGAGAAAAATGGATTAAGGGCTTTAGAAAATTATCGTACCAATCAATAAAATATGCCGCATAGATCGGAGAGAATCTCAAGATCATAAATACTTACTCTCAATTTGCGCAAATCTCGCGAATGCGATCAATTGCCGCCATATTACTTTATTCTATAATATTATTTATTCGTTAATAAGCACGAATGAGTGATGATAGGAGCACATTGTCGACAATTAACCAACCTCGTTCGCTTCACATTTTCGACTTCATATCCTCCACTCGGTGCACGAACAACACGGTGGCGATTCTCCGTTCCTCGCGCTCTGAAATCAAAATCTGCCTCGGCACTGCAGCGACATTGTTGCCTCGTATATTAGCGAATAATTTATTAACGTGCTTGGCGTTGTAAAATAGCTAGTCCGAGTCGCGGCCGAGCCGAGATTAAGGAAAGAAGCGAGGCGTAACGCGATTTCAATTATAAGAACGGATAAGGAAAGGTCGTGGGAGAGGTAGAGGCGCGCCTCTGACACCTTTAACACCTTCGACACCTCTGACACCTCTGACACACGTTTGACACCTATGACACCTATGACACCTATGACACCTATGACACCCTTCCTCGCATTATTGTGAGAGCTTACGAAAGAATATTTGACACTTTTGGCATCCCCTTGTTGGCCTTGTCTCATCCCTATGAGGCATTATAGTTACGTAACAAGGGGACGAGGAGGAGAATGTGTAGGAGGCGATCGAGAGTGACCGGGGTAGCTGGTGACGGACGCCTCGAGCGCGACGAACCAAAGACAATTGATTAACTCTCGGCCCCTTCGTTTTCTGTTTCAGCTGTGGGACCACCAGTTCCGGAGGTAGGAACAGGGCGCGGGCGGCCCAGGAGGAGGAGGCCGCGGAAGAGGAGGAGGAGCAGCAGCAGCAGAAGCAGCAACAGCGTTGGCCGCGGTGGTGCTCGGTGGAGCAGCAAAGTGAGCGGGTGCGGCGCTCGGGAAGACAGTAGTCGGGGCTCCGGCACGGGGACGAGTGCAACGGCGGTTGAGCCCTGAACGTCGCGCAACGACCGGACGAGTTCCCGCCGCTCCGGCCGAGTCGTCCTCGGCCACGGCAACTGCGCCCTCGTTGCTGTCGTCGTCGGCGAGCCGGAGATAGTAGCGGCTGGTGCCGAGGCGACGGCGGCGCTGTTGCGCTGGCACAGCGGCAATTGTTGCGCTGGCAGAGCGGCAGTAGCGGCCAGCAGCAGGAGGAGGAGTCATGGCGACCATCGACGGCCGACCGGCCCAGTATGGGCTCACCCTCAAGCAGCTCCGCGAGCTCATGGAGCTCCGGGGCCGCGAGGGTGTCAACAAGCTCAACGGCTATGGGGGCGTACAGGAGGTCTGCAAGAAGCTCTACACCTCGCCCAGCGAAGGTGAGTCACGCGCCCCCCGGAGGCCTCCAGGCCCGCGGCCTTTGAGGTTAGGTTCGGGCCGAGTCCTGCCTCTCTCGGGGAACCGAACGCCTCCTTGGGAGCTGAACGAGCTGGACGCCCGATCCTCACCGAACGCGCTTTTTATGCCCGATGCCCGATGCCCGATGCCCGATGCCCGGCCAGCCGGCCGCTGACATTATTCTTAGCCTTGACAAGCTTCGGCTGCCACGGATAACCTCAAATCGACTGCTTGGCTTTCTGATTTGCCAATATAAACAATATATCGTTCCTATACGATTTTCCTGCCGAGTGACCAATTCTCTCGTTCGTTCTTCCTCGCCCCCTAACATACTCTACTGGCATTATTGTGTTTCTCGTTTTATTCCCATTATTTTAAGGATCGAGCGCTTGATCGCAGTGAAATGGAATTTTCACGGGAGCTTTGTTTTCACATTGCAGAATTCAAAAATGCTCGTTTGACAGTGCGAATACTTTTACTTTCTTCTTGTATTACCGAGTCCTTGATAAGACAAAATTCGTTTCTTAAATTTTCAATGTTTGCTAAAAAATCTTACATTATAACGTTAAATTAACTATGAACATTTTTCTTCATCAATTGCAATTTCATAGAATTTGCCTGCAATTGTCATTTACTAAGGGGGGTGATAATAAATTTTCAATCAAGTCGAAATTGAATGGATAATGTTTATTCCCAATGGTAAATAAAGCGTGTCTTAAACACGACTGGATCTACCTATTGTATTGTACAGTAGGCAAGCATATTTTTAAAAATTAATGATAACAAATTAATTGGTTTAGGGCTTAGTGGATCGGTGGCAGACATCCAGCATAGGCGAGACACCTTTGGTTCCAACATGATTCCCCCAAAACCACCAAAGACCTTTCTAACACTTGTTTGGGAAGCACTGCAAGATGTAACGTTAATTATTCTAGAGATTGCTGCACTTGTATCTCTAGGCCTTAGTTTTTACCATCCTGCAGACGAAGACTCTGGTAAATAATTTGCTTATATAAAAATTTTACCTTACTAAAATCATCTTTTCTTTGACGCTTGAATTAATTTATCAATATCATAAAATTAAAATTAACAGTACAAGAAACAATGTTATGATATTATTTTTTGTAAAAAGAGAAAATCAAATTAAAACTCAAATAGGCGTGTTATAAATTTGATTAAGTGAAAAATTCTTGAATTAAAATGAATTTTATCTCTAATATTTACAAACTTACTGCAACGCTAACTATTTATATTTTCTTTCGTAGAGCCTGGAACGGAAGACGACGAAGCTAAGTATGGCTGGATCGAAGGTCTGGCTATCCTGATCTCGGTTATTGTTGTCGTTTTAGTAACTGCCTTTAATGATTATTCAAAAGAAAGACAGTTCCGTGGCTTGCAAAACAGGATAGAAGGCGAACACAAGTTCTCGGTCATTCGTCAGGGTGAGGTGAAACAGATTTCTGTTTCCGATATCGTCGTTGGTGACATATGTCAAGTATGCTTATTATTTAACTAATATTAATATTAATGAACTAGTAGATACTCAATATTAACTCAATGAGTCTAGATTAAATACGGAGACCTACTGCCAGCTGATGGTATCCTCATTCAAAGCAATGATCTCAAAGTAGACGAGTCCAGTTTAACTGGAGAATCAGATCATGTAAAGAAAGGCGAATCCTTTGATCCAATGGTACTTTCAGGTATGTAAATGCTAATAAAATTTAATAGCTTTTAATTATGGAAGATAATGAATATATATTGTAACATTTATATATATATATATATATATATATATATTATATTCTATCAATGTAAAGAAAAGAAATTCAATAATTAATTAATAAATTATGTGTGACGAACTATGTAATTTATGATAGCGACTCCAATATTCGAATAAGTATTCATAGAATTCGAATATGACGCGTTTTTAGTATTTTTCGTTTTATTTAATTCAAAATTTATACTGCCACTCTTTAGTTGCTCACTCAGTATGCACATTAAAACATAGAATATCTATTTGTTAATAATTTGTCTTTATTATCAAGGAACTCACGTCATGGAGGGTTCGGGCAAGATGCTGGTCACTGCCGTCGGCGTGAATTCACAAGCGGGTATTATCTTTACTCTCCTGGGTGCAGCTGTCGATCAGCAAGAGCAAGAGATCAAGAAAATGAAAAAAGGTACGCGTTTTCGTTTCATCGTAATAGATAAAACGTCAATGAAAAACAAAAACAATAACAATAACATATACAACGACAGAGCGAATATCTTTGCTCGGACTCTAAATATCAGGTTTGCCAATCCCCCGCTTTACATAAAATGTAGCAGAAAATTTTTTAAAACTATAGTTCAATTAATAGATTAGTATTGTTATTATTTATAAAATCAAAGGCATGAAAGATTATGACTGACTCTTGCTCTTTCTCAATCTTTTTACAAGGTTGCCGAAGTTAATATCGGAGAGTACTACGAACCGAACATCTGCAGACGCATGATTTTATTCTCAATTTGAATTTTGTTGTTTTATTATCAGACCAGATTTTATTATTACCGATTGAACGAATTAACGTTTATCCCACCCTACATGTTCATTTAATATTAGTTGACCATCTTCTCTTTAAATTTATTTATTTATTTTTTTTTTTTGTTGGCATGATTTCGCATCTCAAGTGATGTCGTGCTCTCCCTTTTCTGCAGTACTACTAATTAGCCCTAGTGCACTTGAAAGGATTAACTTTTTAACTTATTGTTCTCAGAAATCTTTTATCATAACCTTATATCGCATTAAGCAGATAATTATAAATTATTAAATTGCAGAATATAAACATTTTCAATGTCTTTTACATAGTTTTACATGTGTGTCTTGTTAAATTATCTTTGGCATCTTTCAATTTTGTATCCTTGTGTTTATTGTTTTCGTCATTTTCCATTACTTAATTTACATATAATAGCCTAAAAACATATGCATCGGCGATAGAGCGATATTATTAACATTTAAATAATGGAAAATGACAGAAGGCAAGAAAAATTGTTCGCCCACACTTACAATCTAATCATTTCAACTTAGAATTAAACTTAGAATTCAATGGATAAATAGTTCATAATTGCTAAGAGATTATTATATAAAAATGATTCTTAAGAGATTTATTATACACGGATTTTTTTAATACAATTTATTTGATATTATTATTTATTTTACGTATTATTTTTGGTTTAATTTATTATGTTCGTTCGTTCGCCACATATGCAATGTATTTTTATTACTACGTATGATTTATGAAAATTCTTTTGAACTATTTGTTCATGAACTCTATGATCATTTGTTTTTGTGAAACCCTAAAAGAGTCAATGATCAAAACGATAATCAATCATAATGCAGCAGATTGCTAATGAATTTTTGTTTTGCATGCGTTTTCTTGTCTAGAGGCTAAAAAGCAGCGGAAGAAGAAGTCGCTATCAGGTGATTAAATTTCAGTACCATGTACTTATAGTTTTCTTTTCTCTTTTTTTTTTTTTTTTATTTAACGAACAGCTGAAGGAACTACTGGTATTAATATAATATTTCAACTGGTAATTAAAAAATTTTCAGGAACAAATTAACTTTCTATACTTTCAAATTTAATAAAGAAAGCAGCTTAAATTAAACAAGGATTTTAATAAACTTTAAAATACTATTTTTAAATTTAATTTAATACTTTTATAATTTTCATATTAATTAAGATTTTATATTTGTGCTTGGGAATCATTAAATATTTTTCTCCGTTATACTTTTGTCTGTTTAATCATATTATCGTAACTTTTCCTATTCGCCTTGAGCTAAGTGGTGGTTTGTTTGCATTAAATCCGTTAATATCTTCTCTCTTGCATTTTGACTTTACTGATTTGATATGACTAACACATCTATTTTCACTTGATCAAGTAATTCAGCATTCCGAATTTTCTTTAAAATTACAACATTGTTTTTATATACTTTATAATTGACGCACAGAGCATATATATTTCATTATTTCCAAATCGATGTTTTATATTCGTAAATATTATTAATGTCAATGTTATAAGCAAACATAAAAATGCCAATTGTTTTGATTAAGGAAATAAGCTTTGTCCTAATAACAGTATCACGTCTTATCACGAATGCAATGCCGTAACGACACTAAAATTTGTCTTGCAATTTGACTTTTATATCAATTCATCCATCATATTTCAGCGTTCGAGCTATACTCTTTCAGTATCAACGTCGGCTGACCTACCAAAAATAATTCAATCATTTTTCATAACTTTATGTTGTACACAATTTTGTAAAATTCTTAGAGCTTTTCTGCATTCCTTACGGTATTGTGTTAAGTGATATAGCGAAATTAGTCACTGAAAAGTTATCCTTTTAGAAATAATGAAACACTAGAATAAATGCCTCTTAAGCAACGGGATTTTAAGCGAAACCATTTTTAAACTGAATAATATTAAATCTGTTTTCTAAACACATGAATGTCAATGAATCCAAATAAATTATGCTGCATGTATATTGCTTTTTCTATTAGCCAGATAGTGTAATAGATAGAATATGATAAATTTAATTCTCATGTTCGTTACAAAAATTAAAATAAAGCTTTTTACCAATCAGCTTAGTACTACTAATTTTAAATAAATCAATTTTTTCAAATTTCAAGAATATTCAGCACACTTATATTAGTACTTGCTTGCCCTACTTCAATATTAATCAACTTTAAATATATTTACTATGTTATCATGTATATTTAAATAAGCGACTCCAATCCGGTCGTCAATAAAAATTAAAAGAAAAAAAATTTTTTATCAATCACATTTGAGTTTGTCATTTAAAACAATTATCAATAAAAAGTTAGCTTCGGACCAAAAAAAAAAACTTATATAATTGTGTTTCATAATTGTACTCACCAAAAAAATATATTAATTTAACTATAGAATGGAAAAAAATTCGTATAATTTTTGAGAATTTCTGACTATCTGAAAGTATTATTCAATTAAATTTACATGTCAGCCTGCAAATGTTTATATACATATGTTAAAAGTAATAAACGAAAAGTCAATTTAACCAATTAATATTCAGTTACAAATAATTAACTGAACTCCCTGAATTTCATATACATCGCGTATTTATCCCTTTCACTCTCTCTCTCTCTCTCTCTCTCTCTCTCTTCTTATCTGTATCTCACTCTTTATCTGTCTCTCTTACGTGGGAATATGAAAAAATGTTATCAGAAATGTATAAAAGCATTTACAGTGGGCTTCGTAACATTGGAATCGCTGATAAAGTGTCGCTGTAAGAGGGGCTTGAGTGTGTGTGCGGGCTTGAAACGAAGAAACAAAAAAAAAAAAACAAAAAAAAAAAAGTATTAACGAAAGCTAAGAATTGGCCCAAGGTGTCGCGAACGACGGGTCATCGTTGTTCAATTATAAAAACCTGTGCCTTCTTTTTTCTCTCTTACTCTCTCTCATCCTCTTACTCGCGAACGCCCTGGACGTCCTCGACTGCATGGAACTGTGCAAAATGGCACAAAGGTGACGAGACCGGTGACATAACCGTCAACAGCCACGCGGTGAGCAAGCAACAGTCGGTAGACGGGGAGAACCACCACACGAGCAAGTCTGAGACGGCCACGAGCCACGCCGAGAATAAGAAGGAAAAGAGCGTCCTCCAGGCGAAGCTCACCAAGCTCGCCATCCAGATCGGCTACGCGGGCTCGACGATCGCCGTCCTCACCGTCATCATCCTCGTCATACAGTTCTGCGTCACGACCTTCTACGTGCAGAACAAGGTCTGGAAGAACACGTACGCCGGCGATCTGGTGCGCCATCTCATCATCGGTGTCACCGTGCTCGTCGTCGCTGTGCCCGAGGGTCTACCCCTCGCGGTCACCCTCTCGCTCGCCTACTCCGTCAAGGTACGTGGATTGGATATATCTAATACTCTAAGGCTTTCTGCGCCACGCGCCTAATTGGGACAATTAAGGTTTCGCCGACAAGCAGTATAGTAGTAGTTCTTTTGACACTTTGCTTTTATGGTTTTACCAAGTAGCCTTCGTCGGACGAGTGACGAAATCTGCCATGAAATAGATGCAATGGTTTATAGCATCGGTTTGCCAATTTCCGTATAGTAGAACATAATTGCAGTGAGCTGTTGAAAGAGCTCGGCTTTACTGTCCATTAAGCGACCATAAAGTAACATATCTCTTCCACGTAATTGAATTATTTTTTTATTTTATTTTATTTTTTTTTTTGGTTCGTTTCACATAATTACACGCGATAATACGATATTATGTGTAGAAGATCGAGGAGTTTCGTCGAATCTCCTAGTTTACCGCATCAATTTTCAGTTATTATGACATTGACGCGAAGACCAAGGTGAGAGCAGACTTGCAAATTCACGGATCGTGACAAGTTTGGCAGTAGTTTCGTTTAAAAAATCGGTCGGTATAAGACTTATATTAAGATAATAACAGTTTTCACAGATTACGTATTAGCTATTTAAGATTAAGGTTTTCTGTGGAAAATATTACAATCGTGATTAAAAAATGATGCTGACACCAATGATTTTATATCAAATGTTTTAATGTTTTTTTCTTTTAATATAATCGTAATGTTAATTATTTCGTACGGATGCACAGAGAGATCCTATTCCGTAGCCAATAAGATTGAAAAAGTATTGTTTTGAAGCGATCATCGATTGCCGTTAGTTACAAAAAAAAAATAATGCCTTAACATCCGCGATCGATGGGCTTTTTTAATGGCCTAATTGTTCCGCAAAACTCTAGGTAGAATGAAAATCTTTATTATTGGCAGATATTGGCTTGTCCGCTGTGTTCGATATGATATTCGCTACATGTCAATTGTACAGTATTGCAGTTATAAATGCTCCATCGATATTAATTCCCAATGACCTAATACAAAAAGATTACGAAACGAATTTTACAAAAAAAAAAAAAAAAAGTGGCACAAGAATTTCCATAAATCCATAAATCCATCTTGGCGATGTCAAATATTATTTTTGGGATGAATTTCCAAATATTTTTTTATCAATCGACTGGATAATAAATCATAATGGACAAGAATAATTATAATCGGTCTGCCCGTAAGTGCAAAGCACCTTATCCAATTCCATTTCCCGGCAAAATGCAAGACAATAAATTCTATTGTTACAATTCAATTACAATATTGTCCTATACATAGATTTTTTTTTTTCTTACAGCCTTATTGACAAGTTTAATGTCCCTTTCTTAAATATTCCGAGCACAGAATATTGATATATCGAAAATATTGAAAAAGTTTCTGAAATATAAATCAATGCTTAGTATACGTCAAGATAATTCCGTAATGTTTACGTGATCATCTCCATTACTATGCTCTTACTTCCAGATTCTAGCTCGTTTCAATAATACTTTTTCTATAATATTTTAAAGCGCTAAATCCTGAGAAAGAAGGCCGTAATATCGGCCGACGCGTTAATTATAAATGGTGGGGAAAGAATTAGTTACTGTAATAAAATTTAAAAAAATGTTTTCCTTCGATAGCTTAACAAAATTTTCAATTTCAAACTTTCGAATAACTGCATGGCAAAGGATATAAGGAAAAATTTATAATTTAATATTAATGAAGAAGTAAGAGATGGTACAGTTATTATGATTAGTCGAGTGAAGACAACGAATAGAAGGACTTATTGCGTTAATCGAAGAATTAATTTACGTTTTGAAACTAAATTACGAAAATTTCACACAAAAGTATAACACAAATACCACAACTATTTATTAATTTTTGTCTGTCTGTTTGTTTGTTTGTTTATTTATTTGTTTTTACGCTTCATACATTGAATAATGTTGATGATGTTTGTTTGAATAATACTTCTGCGTTGAAAATCTGTTTTCATTGCGAATGTGCGGAAAAGTTGTGGTGAACAAAGTTCATAATACTTGAAATAACAATTTCTCTCGTGGCCTTTTTATCATAATCACAGGGTTAGAAATAGATGGGCAAAAACGAGTTCCTGCGCTCTCACAGAAATCACCGAACTAAATTTGTCAATGGCAAGATAAGACACGCATCCCCCTCCTTCCCACCCTCTCCCCCGATTCCATCCCACCGAGTCCCAAGTTTACCGGCAAAGGCTCACCTTTGCTTCTGTTGTCCCGAGCAGAAAATGATGAAGGACAACAATCTGGTGCGCCACTTGGACGCCTGCGAGACGATGGGCAACGCCACTGCCATCTGCTCCGACAAGACGGGCACGCTGACGACGAATCGTATGACCGTCGTGAATTCGTATCTATGCGAGAAGCTGAGCAAATCAGTGCCGAGCTTCTCGGAGATACCGAGCCACGTCGGCCAGCTGCTGATGCAGGCAATATCCATCAATTCGGCATACACGTCGCGCATAATGCCGTCGCAGGACCCGACCGAGCTGCCGATGCAGGTCGGCAACAAAACCGAATGTGCCTTACTTGGATTCGTGGTCGCTCTAGGCAAGAGTTATCAGACAGTGCGCGACGATAACCCCGAGGATACGTTCACGCGAGTCTACACGTTCAACAGCGTTCGCAAGAGCATGTCGACCGTCATCCCAAGGCAGGGCGGTGGCTACAGGCTCTTCACCAAGGGCGCTTCCGAAATCATCATGAAGAAGTGAGTTTCATTATATTTGAATTGTTGCATTTACCGCTTTGTATCTTCATATCGCTCAGATCGGCATGGCATCATGCCTTAATTGTTGCCCATCATCGACAATATGTAATGGGCTGGGTGTTATTTTATCAAGTAACGCAAACGCACCTCCCTTCACTATCCCTGCGCCCTTTGATCAATGTCGCGAAGACGACTGATCGATCGATGCACGTGACGCACAGATGCACGAATGTAAATATTTTTCTTTCGGGGTATGAGCGGATTATTCGTAAGGGGAGGAGCAATCGTATGTATCCGAGCTAATTACGTTTTTCAAGCGCATAAAGTATATCGGGACGTAGAAGATGTCATTTAACGAGTCATTTAACAGCCAATGGCCTCGAATAAGTTTCGGTAGAATTGTAAAATTTTAATTTTATGATAATGAGAAGCTCGTAGATATAAATATCAAATTCAAATGTAAGAATTGTTAAGTAATTTGCCTTCTATGTCGATGATGCCCGCATGAATTGCATAAATGAAAACAATATAAAATTATTATTGCATATACCTAATGCGTATTTAACGTATAGAATGTATTTGAAATATTTATAATATATTGAACTAACACTATATGTATGTATATATATATATATATATATATATATATATATATACTATGGGGCTTCAATAGGCTTTTATTAATGTTTTCTTATTCGGAGCGACACGTGCCTTTAGTTTAAGTTACTTGAAAAATCCTCATAAATTAAAGTAGGTCGGATGAAGCCGAAATATTTATGTATGCGACATGGCGAAGGTAAGCTAAATTCAGATTAATATGAAAAATACAATAATCTTTAATAAACTTCCTAAATTGAATTTGACATTTTTAAAGACTGAATAACTAACTATGCACAATAACCAAACGAATGACAATAGAGGGCTTGTCGATCAATGATTTATACACTATTGCAGTTTGCAGGAGTTGCAGAATGAAATAAATCGCTTGATAATGAATATTACAGATGTGCCTTTATTTATGGTCGCGATGGTAACTTGGAGAAGTTTACGCGGGACATGCAGGAACGGCTGGTGAAGAATGTGATCGAACCGATGGCATGCGACGGCCTCCGGACGATCTCAATCGCTTACCGGGACTTTGTACCAGGCAAGGCCGACATCAATCAGGTTCATATTGACAACGAGCCTAATTGGGAGGACGAAGAAAACATCGTTGCCAATCTCACCTGTTTGGGTATCGTCGGTATCGAAGATCCGGTCAGGCCCGAGGTCCCCGATGCCATTAAAAAGTGCCAGAAGGCGGGTATCACCGTGCGAATGGTCACCGGTGACAATGTCAATACTGCCAGGTAACAGTTCTTCGTTTCATCGACATAATTAAGAATATTAACGGGAAATACTCTCAAATTGCCCCGATAAAGTACATCACGTTATATTGCGAGTTCAGCCCTATTGACTTACGTCATTGTGTAAAATTGAATTTTGAGATGATAAATATTATAATCGAACGCGGCAAAGAGTTAAAAACAACAACAACAACAACAACAACAACAACAAAAACAACTACAAAAGAGAAAAAAAGAATTCATTCACATTGCTCCGGAGTAAGACTTTTATTATTAAACGGGCAGATGAAATGTAATGCAACGATAATGATCAGTTACTACCTTATAAACGATTGATTTTTCGTATTCGATGAACAGACTAGAAATATAAATAATACGGTTTTAAAATAATTATGTACGTATTTACAATTGTCGGTTTTCCAATAATTTATAAATAATTACATAGATAAAGTACTTATTTTTAATAATAAAGATGTTGGTTGCCGTGAGATTAAACTTATTTCAGGACGAGCGTCATAAAAGTCATGTGTTTGTTTGCAATTAAGCTTGCAACGACAGGATACCTTGTGTAACAGTTCTGTAATCGGCAGGAAACTGAATTTTTATTGTTACAACTTTATAACCATAATAGCACTCGACATTCGTCCCAATGTAAAAAAAAGATTATTCTTATGAGCCAGCATCTGTAGGAAATAACTCGTTAGTGCAAAATTAACGTAATTAGAAGAGAAGCAAAGTAAGCGGGCCTCTAAAATGTTAATTAATTCATAATTTTTCTTTGGCAATACCTTGCGCTATCAAGGTCAATCGCATTGAAGTGTGGCATTTTGAAACCAAACGAGGACTTCCTAATTCTGGAGGGCAAAGAGTTCAACAGGCGGATTCGCGACTCCCATGGCGAAGTACAGCAGCACTTACTCGACAAGGTTTGGCCGAAATTGCGCGTCCTGGCGCGATCCTCGCCCACGGATAAGTACACTCTTGTCAAGGGCATTATCGACAGTAAAGCCTCGGCGAATCGCGAGGTCGTGGCCGTCACGGGCGATGGTACGAATGACGGACCCGCCCTAAAGAAGGCTGATGTCGGCTTCGCCATGGGCATTGCCGGTACGTAAATTAACGAACTTTTGCTCGTAAGTGTGACAGCCGTGTGCGCAGTTTTTGTCAGTTGGAGGTGGAGGTGGAGGATGCTTGCCATTGAGATTCTCGTACTCTCCTGGTATATAAAGCTGCCAGGATTAAAGCCAGGATAGGGGGAATTGATTGTTTTGAAATATTGATAGAATTCCTCGGCGATTTGTGATCGCGCGTTACTCCTCGACATCTATTACACTTAGCCTATTTATAAGTGACGAGGACGGTAGTTTAAATATAATTGCGTGGCTTGTGTGGTTAGGTACGGACGTCGCTAAAGAGGCATCGGATATCATCCTCACCGATGACAACTTCTCGTCGATCGTCAAGGCGGTGATGTGGGGCAGGAACGTGTACGACAGCATCGCCAAGTTCTTGCAGTTTCAGTTGACCGTGAACGTCGTTGCAGTTATCGTCGCCTTCATTGGCGCTTGCGCCGTTCAAGATTCGCCCTTAAAAGCCGTGCAAATGCTATGGGTTAACCTGATCATGGACACGCTTGCCTCGCTCGCGTTAGCCACGGAAATGCCGACACCCGACCTCCTACTGAGGAAGCCCTACGGCAGAACGAAACCCCTCATTTCCAGGACGATGATGAAAAATATTCTTGGTCAGGCCATTTATCAGTTGGCCATCATTTTCATGCTTCTCTTCGTTGGTAAGTTGACGATTGTAGCTGCAGAATTAATAATCTAATCGTAATTATATTCTATTTGAAGTGCAAACTGCTTGCGATAATGTGCGACAAATAGCAAATCCTAAATCGTTGCAATAGATCGTTAAACAAAGGAAAAACAAACAAAACGAAAATGGCGCAATTTCGAGATAGCTCGGGTATCCGTACAATGCGTACTCCCCAACTCATCAGACCTGCTAATACATAATCATTGATGTAAAGTAGCATGCTATAATCATTGTTAAAAGTAAATTTATAAAGTTGTAAAAGTACATTTACGCGCAAATTGATTTGAAGGGTGGTAATAAATTTGAAAAAATACCATTCACCATGGCTCATTAGTTCTGTAATAATGTACTTTTAGGGGATAAAATGCTCGACATTCCCTCTGGCCGAGGAGTAGCGGCAGCCGGCGGCGGACCGACTCAGCACTTCACCATCATCTTCAATACGTTTGTCATGATGACGCTGTTCAACGAATTCAACGCTAGAAAAATTCATGGCCAGCGAAACGTCTTCCAGGGAATATTTACCAACCCCATCTTCTATTCCATTTGGATTGGTACCTGCTTATCACAAGTACGTACTGTCTACAAAATCTTTCAATGCTTACGAATTTCAACGGAATAATAAGAAAATAATGGCAAATTCAGACAATAATGTAGAACGTTGATTACATTGGCGAGCGTTTTTATATATTTTGCATAGTTTATTCGACGACGAAAGCTTACTCCATTTTGTAATAAAAGTCGAAATCCCGTTTTCAGGTAGTTATTATTCAGTATGGTAAGATGGCATTCAGCACAAAAGCTTTAACTGTAGAACAGTGGATGTGGTGTCTATTCTTTGGGATCGGTACACTGTTGTGGGGCCAATTAGTCACGACGATTCCTACACGCAAGATTCCAAAGATCCTTTCGTAAGTCTTACAACAGCAAAAAAATAATCTGTTTTAACCATTTGATTAGGTGACAACAATAAGACAACAGTTTATGCTCTCAACAACTGTCTATATCGCTCTTATTCTCTACTACTTCTTTCTATTTTCTCTGGCTTATTTTGTATTATTTTTTTTTTTTTTTTTTTTTTTTTTTTTTTTTTGGTCTGTTTTTTATTCTTTTTTTCTTCTTCTTTCTATTAAAGCGTTACTTCGATGATTTTTAATACTCGAATATATCGAGGAACGTAGCGAGTAAAAATTATCGGATAATAAGGAGTGCTATACATTAGAATGTGATCGATTCAATTTTTTTTTTTTTTTTTTTTTTTTTTTTTGTAAAAACTATTAATTAAGAGAGCATAATTTTTAAATTAATCGATTTGTCACCAGTCGATAATAATAATAATAATTAAAGAATTGCAATTAGTAATAAGTAGGCCTCGCCTGGACCTATTGGTAGTACGTGGTAGTGACCTTTGCATGTTAGAAATTAATCCAATCCACGCAATTATCACTAATTACGCGAACTAACGCAATTAACTCGATTTTTCTTAGCATTACTCTCCATCCCGATAGTTCCTTTACTCTTGTATCTTTATCTTTATCTAGACCTGCTGCTTTCCCATTGTAAGAAGTAAAACTAACCATGCTGGATGTTGCATGCCTTTTTTTTTTTTTTTTTTTTTTTTTTTTTTTTTTTTTTTTTTTTTTTTTTTTTTGAAACACCATGAGACGTACTTTAAAAGTCTGCGTACTTGTTTGTAATTAATCAAAGTATTTAGAATTCAAATATTAAAAGCCTTTTTTTGAGCGCCTAAAACATCAAAAACTGGTTTTTTCACGAGCTGCTTAAACAAATTTAAACATTAAAATGAAAAAATATATAAAATATCTAAATTCAATCTGAATTGTTACGATCTTTTCTCGATGTGCATATATAACAGAAAAGCGTGAAAAGCGTAACAACGATGACGTGTGAAGTTAGTTTAACCGTTCTTCGATTAATAACGCATATCAAGTGCTTCGGTCGAGGTGGTTATTCATCAAAGATTGGTTAAATTGAAACAATATTATCATTGATCAATTCTCTATTATCTTATTTATTCGAATCAACTTAAAAAGAAAAATAATAATAATAATAATTTTCAAAAATTTCGTATACCGAAAGCAAAGAAAAAACTACACCACTTTCTAGATTGGACGATATTCACTTAATCGCTGCGACATCGCCGAAATTTTTCGAAATCAAACGAGGACAGCGACAGGCTCTGACAATTTTTGTACCCGATCCTGTTCCTAGCACATCCTACGATACCTGAGAGTTTACGAAATTCGAAAGTCAATGATAAGATTTATTGAGAATTTGAAAGATCAAGTGCGAATATACGTCAGGTGATTTCAAAGTTTCCTTCTACATCTTACAAAAACAATAATATTAATTTCTCCATATTTTAACACAATTAACACATCTTGATTATTTTTCTTGTATTCAATACAATCTTTACAATTAATGTGCCGCTTACATACAATTGTATTATATATCATAACACATTTTATACATGACAAATGGTAGAACATTGTTTGTATAAACACGACGACACAAGTAAGTTGGTGGCAACACGTATTGATTATAATGCGAAACGCTTTTGTAAAATAACGTCCAAGTACGTGGATTTCGACACCAGGACATGGCTAACAAAACAAAAAAAAAATAGGAAGAAAATTAATATACTCATTATGTAGAAATTGTTGAAGGTGTTGCATGACATGAAAGTCGTTGCAAACATCATTATTGTATTATGATTAATTTTCTATACTGTAAAGTTGTGTACATTGCAAATGGCTCCTTAGCTTCCATGAATTATGTTTATCGTATTTCATTCAAGTTTATCTATAATTTTAAGATTGAAAGTAATTATCACATATATATGACTTTTGTTTATGCATTTTAAAGTTCAGCATGGACGAATAGTTGCTATTCCGATCGATACTATCGATAAAAATTACACTTTTAAATTACACTCTTAAAAGCATACATTTGTAGAGGATTATTACACTAAATAATTATTACACTAGAGTTTCTTAGATAATTCTTTTTAGTTACGATTCATAGATAAAATTAGCTTAATACGTAGCGACGTAAAAAAAAAATATATATATATATTCGTTTGAAAAGTCAAATTCGTTTTATAAACGCTGCTGTTCGAATATCTAAATAGTATTCAATTTAGAAGAATCGTATCTTAACTCATAATTTTCTTATCTTAAGCACATTATGATCAGAATTATAGAAATTAATTACAATAAGCCATTCCTATTGATTAATTACGTTATTTTACACGAAAATAGATTATATCCTGTAATGAAATCGTGTGCTTGTATATTGCGACAATTAACTAACATTCAACCAAACAATCGATTAATTATACTAACATTGAAGTCTAAAATAACCAATGTATTAACATGTATATATTATGTATTAATTGATCACTATCACCAGGCACTACCTCTGTACTACACAAATACCATTGGCATTTTTATCTCTATCTTTCCTTATTTTTCTCTCTCTCTCTCTCTCTCTCTCTCTCTCTCTTTTCATTCATATTTTACTTTTACCGATCTTTTATCTTTCCTGTTACTATTATTAACTATAATTTTATACTATTCTCTCTGTGGAGCAGTACGTAAGTCATAAATATTTTTCGTATTACATTAGCATAAACAGTTATTCGCAAGTCATGATGATTCATTAATATTGTAATCATATTTCGCAAAAAGCTATTCATATTATTTACGGATGGTAAAAAGGCATCTTTTCATCTTCTTTCTTCTCATTTATCGACTCATCTTTACCTGTAATATTTATTTACAATAATCATCAGTGGTTTTTTGCATTTGTTTATGACATACAATTTAAAAAGCAGACTTCACCCATTTTGCATGTAATGACTATCATGTTGTTTTGCATTCCTATCGTTGATGCATTCATAAAAAAATTGCTTTTTATTATATTAATCATATTGTGCTAATATTATATATTGTTAAAGATATTTGTATTGGCATAATATTTCAATTCATTATATTTTCAATGCCTCTATTAAATTCATTCAGCCCTCTTAAACTAATAAAATAAACATGAAAAATAATTGATAGATACTCTTCCGGTTATCTATGTGATGTACATGTGATTCTATTATCTTTATTTAATAAGATTGTGAATATTTAAAAATAAAGATAACGAATTATATTTTCAAGGTACAGAAGTAAACAAATGCATATATACAGTTGTATTCCCAAATCCATTACACTTCTTATCTCTGTGTTTAAAGAAGGATTGTCTGTCCTCTTTCTACCGCCTCAACCATCTACTCTTAATTAAAAATCACTCTCTCTCTCTCTCTCTCTCTCTCTCAATCTATCTATCTATCTATCTATCTATATATCTATCAATCTATCAATCTATCAATCTATGTATCAATCTATGTATCTATCTATCTATCTATCAGTCTATCAATCTATCTATCGGTCTATCAATCTATCTATCTCTATGTCTATATATTTGTCTTTCTTCTCTTTCTACAAGTTCTTTATACGTTAATCTGTTTAATCCCCGTTACAAGAGTCAGGGGTTGGATCACCTCCACCCGGAGGAGTTAGAGGAACGAAGGACGCCTGCGGAACGCCAATCCGAAACAAAACGAAATAAAACAATAAAAAGAATTAATGAATAAAAAGAAAGAAAATTTTTATAAGAAACTCGAACCAATTTAAAACTCTAATCAGCTGTTGTTCTGGGCGAAAATACTGCCAAAATTATATGACTGCGAAGTTATCGGTAAAGATTGCGAAAGTACCGAAAGGTAAAAAAAGCTAACCAAAGAAAATAAAAAAATTTCACCGAGAGAACAAAAAGGCATAATCAAAACAATAAAATTAAACTACTAAGCTAACCAAACAAATTAAAAAGCTGTGTTACTCACCGCAGAAGGCACCGTGATACGAGTAATATGAAGAACTTTGGTTTAATGTGTTTTAAAAACAGATGGGGCCGCGGCCAGCCAGATGATATCGGCGCTATCAATTTGGGAGATGAGAAATTCGACCCAGACTCGGATAAAAAGCCTCGCGCCGGACAAATTCTGTGGATCCGTGGTCTGACAAGACTGCAGACTCAGGTAATTATCCCTATCTCACACACACTCTCTGTCTCTATCTCTATATAAATATATATCTCTTTATCTCTCTCACTATCTTTCCATGACTTCTAATTTTTAATTTTTTCTATATCAAATTCTCTCTCTCTCTCTCTCTCTCTGTCTCTCTCTCTCTCAATCTCTATCTTAGCCTCACATCATTGATTTGATAAAAATCAACATTTCAAGGCCTTCACTGTGCGAATCTAATTAATTTGTGACGTCATTACAGACATTGATATTGTAAAGCCAAAAAGGGTTGGATTTGCCATCATTTTTTTCTATTTCAGGAACTCAGAATTAATCATGAATTCTTTTATATATTTTTCTCATTCAACCTATTTCTCCTCTATCTCTCTCTCACTCTCTGTTTATCCGTCTGTTTGTCACTCTCTATCTCTCTCTATCTCTCTATCTCTCTATCTCTATCTCTATCTCTATCTATCTCTCACTCTCTATGTCTGTTCTTCCTTTCACTATGTCTTTATCACTGTCTCTATGTCTTATTTCCTCTTCTGTTTCGTACACTTTCATTCTCACCTTTCTTCACTTAATTCTTTTTAAATTATCTTTTATTAAGATTTTTCGTTTATTTTTTTTATAGATTCTAAATTTTCTAAATTTTGTAAATTAATTCAGCGAGTTCTTACGATCTCGCTCCACAACAAAATTAAATAAGCTAATGATATATATGTATGAAAAGTGCGTTAATAAACAAAATAGAACGAAAATAATTCCTTATTCAGAAATTCCTGAAAATATTTATATACACAATGGAATACTCATCGATTATTCTTTAAAGTCATATATGAATGTCGATTTCACTAACGAGACAATTACTTCTTGCGCGTCATAATGCAAAAATGAAAAATAAATCTTGTTTCCGGAGATTCTGAAGAAGCATTTCATTATTTCTCCGCGGAAAATGAGAAAAACGAAAGAAAAAAAAGTAAATATGTACTCTTTATAGCACTCTTCTGTTTTCTTTTCTCCGACTGTAAATTGTTTCACTATTTGTCATAAGATTGCTCCGCCAACTCATACAGCGCTAAAGGAAAAATTTTCTCTTGAGTGCGGGCGTTCGCGAGCTTGACATACTTTTTTTTTTAACTTTTTCTTCGTAACAGTATAAAACCATCTTGTTACTCTATCGCGACTTTCTCAATATCTCAATTGTATGTCATAATCGTCAATCATTTAAATCTAAAACGACCTATATAAAAAGAATATGTCTAAAACATCAAGATAATTGTACATACTTAAACAGCAAGTGAATGTAAATTATTGGAGGAACTCGATTAATGGAATTGGTCCTCTGTGTCAGTGACGCGTAATTCGCCAATTACGAAGCATTTTTTAAGTTCTTAGTCATATTTGTGTACATATTTGTTTATTATTTTTTTAATTCAATCTTTTTCACCCAAAATTATATTATATGATCCTAATTAATACGTGATTAATTACATACTTGAACTTAGTATATATGCAAGTTTAGTAATATATATATGTATATATATATATATATATATATATATACACATATATATATGTAATCTTTAATCTTTGATATTTTTAATATACATTTATACAATTTTCTTTGTACAAAATCGCACTTCCGGCAAACGATAATGTTAGTGTTTTTATCTATACTACAAGATAATCGCGTTTTATATTTCTTACATACTTTATGCGTGTGTATACATAGGCATATATATATATATATATATATATATATATATATATATATAAACAAACAAACAAACAAACGCACACGCGCGCATAGATATGTAATTATCTGTTATAACTATTGATTTTTTTATATTTAAAATTTTATTTACACGTAGGTTTATAAATTAGAAACGAATCGATAGTTCATCAAACGATGTGAGAAAGTCGATTGAATCGATTTGAGTTTACGAAATAGTTACATTATCTTTATGCATGAATGCCCTCCCCTCTTACGATAACAACAAACACTATCTTTTTCTGATAATTATTAAATTATTTTAGGAGTTTTTATACTTAACAACGTACTGAAATTTTTAGTTAAACATTTATCTTATTGTACATAATAGAAATGCGCCAAAAATCACAACGAATTACCGAAAGCTTTTAGTATTATCCTTTAATTTTAATTGTTGAAGTACCATATTAATTCATCGCTTTATCATTGTAAATTTAAAATATCAAAAAACTAAAAGTTTCGGTAACTTTTCTTACTTAAACGGCAATATCGAAAGACGAGAGTCGTGTTTACAAAGAAGATACTCACTTTTATATTTTCGAAGATATGATTTATATGGAAAAAAGTACGTTGCAATGGCAAAATTTCGACCTCGATTTGCTGAAATAACAAGTGGCTGTGAATTTCATGTCGCATAATTTGCACATTTTCTTAAAACTCATGAAATTTCCATGATGATTTCCGATCATCATTGAGGAAAGCTTTTTCGAAATTTTAAAGGCATTCTAAGTTAATTTATACATAGTTAATAGAATATGATATACTAATTTGTAAATCTAATTTCTGTACATATTATGTTGCGCCTGGATACCGCGATACATCGAAATCTAATACAAGAGGAGCTCATTAAGAACCAATTAGAAATGGTCCATACAGTCCTCAACCAACTCCTATCTTTCTTAGTAATCATTGTCTTCTTTTCAGCCTTATTTGTGTGTCGTATATAAGTAAAAAATGTGAAAAAAAAAAAAATTTTTATTACGTCAAACATATTTCACTTCATATTTTTATTCCATTGTACGTGTGTATGTCAATATAGAAGGAAATTTTCATTTATTTTCGAATCATTGTTTTAAAATAATAGGAGGCAAAGGCAAAGTTTAAAACTTCGAAGAAACTTAATGATGTTTTCGATTTCTATTTTGATAGTGAATAACAATCGACTTTTTTGCACGAACAAACAGTAAATTTGAATTATCTTAATAGTTAATTACTCACGTCGATATAATACAACAAAAATAAATAAGCAAAACAAAACAAAAATAAAAAAAATCACACAAGAGAGAAAAAGCTTTATTGCACGAAAGGGATATATTTCACCATTTGGATGCGGAATGCGCATATAAATATAGGTGGTCTATTAAAGAAACTAATCAATAACAAGGAAAGTCAAACAGCATGTGCGCATAAGCACGAGAAAAAGTATTATTGAACATACTTTCCTTATATCTAACATTTGTTAAACAAAGTGGGCTGTACAAAAAACTTAGATCATTGTTGTTTGGATAATTGCAAAAGTTATAATACCATTTGCAATCGACTTTCAAATCAATTATGAATTTTAAAAATCTACGTCATAACAAGTGCTTTTATTTCTTTCATATTTTAATATTCAAATCTTAAGAATCTTTTTTATTTAAACCTAATTAAGAATATAGATTTATTTAAATTAATTTACAGATCGTACGATGTTAAGCGTTTCTTATTTTTTCTTTTTTTTCTTTTTTTGTTTTTACTTATGTTAATGAAAAAAAAAAATTAAGTATTCAATTTGGAATCGCAAAATATTATAAAATTAAGGGATAACGTTATTGTTTATCGCAACCTTAAACATTTATTTCTTAAATTTCTCATCTTTCGTAAGGATTTGCTTTAAAAGAAAAATAAAGAAATTTCATGTAAGTGTGCACTTATTGGAAATTGGAAATAAAGTTTCAGTCGTATGAAATTTATAATAACCGGAAGTGCGTCGCGTAATTTCAAGGCGAAAAATCGTAAGAATTCGAGATCGAAGAAACAATTTCTTAAAGCGGAAAATGGTAAATAGTTGATAGGAGCGCGAACGAACGGGAAAAGGTTACGCGCAGCCTTAACTGCAATACGTGTGTGCATGGGTGATGAAGTATATTTTTATGGATGTTCATGTACGTGTGTGTGTGTGTGTGTGTGTGTGTGTGCGTGCGTGCGTGTGTGTGTAATATAAGTACGTGAATGTGCCCTTGCGGGTGTGTGTACTTATATATACATATATATATACATATATCTATATACACACGCGCGCGCACACACACGCACACACACACACACACACACACACACACACACATATATATATATATGCATAAACGATATTATTTATAGAGTAAAGATGTGATAAGCAAGAAGAAAAAAAAACACAATAACGGCTACTATAAGCTAATCATATCAAATTCAATGTGTAACCTACTTTCAGACGAGCAATAGAACTCTGGTGCAGAATGTATCTGTGACAGGCAGATCCCCCTCTCAGGATTACTATATGGTTAGTCCGCAAGTCTCCAACTCTCCGCATTGTTTGGCCGTCTATTAATACTTATTATTAATCATAATCTCACTTTTATATATTGTTTTTTAACTTATTTCCTTTATCTCTATTTATTTCTGTCTTTCGCCTATTTATCCAGTGTTATAATTTCTGTGTTATTCGTTTTTTTTTTTTTTTTTTTTTTTTTTTTTTTTTTTTTTTTGTCGCGTTTTGGCAGACACGCAATTTTATATTAAACTTTTTCGTTTTAATTGTTATCATCCCTCCTCTCCAAATTATCATTTTACACACTAAGAACTTTACAACACACCTCCGCCCTTTCGTTTAAATGACGAATTTAATACTTTCTTTTTGTCGACTACTTTTATTGAATTGCATTGTATTGCATAAGTTTTATATGATTTGTCGCTTCTTATGAACTCACGAAAGACTCATTAACCCTAATGACCACTCTGACCCATCCAAGTTTGTAATTTTTATTTTTATGCTTTTTTTTTACTTGTCATCTTTAATTTAATTCATCTTTTCCGCATTAATATCTCACTAAATGTGATATACAGTTGTATATTTTATATTTTTTTATTTCTATAATTATCATCATAATTCATATTATTGTTACCGTATTATTATTATTATTATTATTATTATTATTATTATTATTATTATTATTATTATTATTATTATTATTATTATATAAAATCACTCGATGAGATA